CCTACAAATCCGGGCCATTGGGATTTCACTGAACTAGTTTAGGATTTAAATCCAAGTCAGTCTAATCCATCCATGAATTTCGAAACACAACCTTATGCCTCGAAATTATGGGTAAGACTGCAGTACCAATGTGTTACTTTTCAATGTTATGCTAAATGTACTCCAAGGTAAATCCTTCTTTAATCATAAAGGGATAAATGCCCTCTCTAAACATATACCCTCGGCCAAAATTAAGCGTATGTCTGTATGTGTGTTGTGCGACAGAAAGAAAGACAGAGAGAATCAAGAATAATGATCTTCACTTATACTAACCTTCACTCTTATTAATGGCTTATAGTGGAGCTTGGATATAACAGTTAGCAAGCCAGAAAAACACAAACACACAATATATGAACCTTTTTTATTATCCACATGGTCGACATGCGCCTTCCCCAAACTCCACACTGACAATAACCTCTTGCACTTGGCTGTCTTTTTTTTTATTTTTATGCAGGAAGACATCAATAGGATGGCCATTTGCAGTGACAAATACCCCGACTGTTGCAATCTCCCACAGCCTTCTGTCCAAAATAATATTTGCACGTCGCATCACAAGCATTGGTAGTTTCGCATCGATAAAGAGGAAGATCTAACTCACGTGCATCGATCATCTTTGGTCCATTGCCTGCATCATTGTAGAAATTTATGTAACTTCACTCATGACCTTTCAACAAGATAGCAAATGCCACTATTTCTTTTTCTTACTATGTTGGTGGGGTCATTAATTGAGCTACTGCCCTAAGGGTTGAGGGCATATATTGGTGTCGCAATAAATTAGTTTTGTCAACAAGTATAAACATGTTTAATTACTGTTTTATACTTCGTATGAACTTTAGTATATAGATTATACACCTGTATATATACTGGTATAGATCTTACTAAGGTTTGAGGATTGGAGAACATGGGGATAAGGAAAAAGTAAAAAAAGCAAAAATTGAATCAAACAATACTTAAAAATGTGCTTTAAATGGCCATGAAGCAAAAAAATAAATACAAATAGTTGTCAACCCGTATTCTTGATAATCAATAAAATTGTGTTTTTTATCGAAAAAAAATTATTGTCAAATAGTATAAATAATATTGACAAATTTAACTTAGTTTATTCAAAGGATTGTGCATGATTACCTATTGTAATGGTAAGCACGAGTAGAAGGATGGCGAGAATTGACAGCTTCCTCATGCTTGATTGTTTTTTTTTTTATTTCTTTCTTAAGCCCAGAAGAAGAGATAGAGAATGGGTGCATGAACTATATATTTGCCCAAATATATAGGCTATACATGTGCCCACTTTAAAGAGTGCATAAAGTATTGAATTTGCCCGAATATGATAAAAGTTATTATCACAATTAATGTTTTTGCATTCAAGTTGCAGTTGCAGATTACAGCAATAATGTACTACTCATATTAATACTTCCTGACCCAATAAAAAAGATTACTACTCAAATTACAGCATAATCACTACTCATATTATTACTTCCTGATCCAATAAAAAAGATTACTATTCAGATCACTACTCAGATTATACAATAATGTCACTACTCAGATTTCTCAATTTATTACAAAGATTATGTCAATTAGATTACAAAACAAAACAATAATGTTGCACTTCTCAATTTCGTACCAAATTTTCTTTATGCACTAATGTGGTGTGACCACAGCCAGTGGATGCTAACGAGATTTGATAAGATCCACTAATCTAAATAAAAAATATATTTATATTTAAGGAAGTAAATGCCGGCACGGTTGGCTTCTGTCTTTAATTCACATTTTGAAAATAAACTTAAGTTGTTCTTCCTATTTTAATCAAAAATAAAATATGATCTTCTTGATGGTGCTTTGAGTGAAGCCTTGTCTGTTTTTTATTTTGATAAAACACAACAGATGAAGATTGAAAAACACATAGATTGGCATAAAACAATCCAAATCCTTGCACTAAGTTATAAGGTTTTCTACCGAAAAAAATTATAAAAACAGAATACATGTCCGTGGCTCAGATATAGTGTGTCATTCTTCTTGTCAACATATCACAATTTAATGTCAAGGGTGTTATGTAGGAGTAACTAAGCAACAATTTTAGTCGGTGACAATCATTAAGAAAAGAAAATCACCTAACTATTAGTGCTACAATGTTTTAAATCAGAGGTCCTTAATATTGGTAAACTCCTTACTACCTAACCAAGTTGGCTGCCCCAAGAGGGCCAAAACCCAATAATTGAAAAAAAAAAAAAAGAAAGTTCTTTGAAGTACCAACTTCTTGGTGTTTAATTAAATGTATTCACTATAACACCATTTTGATAATGACTTTTAAATCTTTATTGAACAATTCAAAGTTCCTCCTAAACTTATTAAAATATTGGGCCAAAGTATACAAAACTGTTCGCCTCTATATTTTTATAGAAACTAAAAATACAACGCTCAACATGGCATGTTTAATTATCTCCCTTAGCTTCTTATGGATAAGAAATACAATATTTAATAACAAACCCTGCATTTTGGATAAGAAAATGTTTCAAGTTATGGTAAATCTATTTATCCTTACACCGTTATGCTATAAAATTGAAATAATCGAAGTCAAATAAAAATTACTAGTACTATGAAATAAGATGCAATTAACTTATTAAGTAGTTGTATAAGGTCCATAATGAAAAAAGACAAATAAAAGGAAACGACGCTACCTAAAGAAAAAGTTAAATGTATTGGGTCTTTTGGATAAAACCGATATATCTATGTGTACTTCTTGTTTATCTCAGAAACAATTCCTATATGTAAAGAAATCCTATTTGTAAACAAGAGATCTCAATAAACAATGTTAATCAATCGAGTGGTTGACTACGTCAACTATTGGGTAAAATGCATGTACTAAATTGAGACAGATATAAATAAAAATTATAAACAAAAGGAACTTGCAATTAGAAGCATTCTAACCAATGGTTAAGTTATTACTCAGCAAAGTAAAATCAAAATTATTAGAAGATGAGATCAATGAAGCACATTTCATTTATTTGTTATTAGTTGATAAATAAGTAAAACATAATATTCCTTATGATCTAATTAGGGACATGGACCTTATAATAAATTGTAACAGGTTACAGTTCATCTATGATGCAGAAACACTCATGATGCAAGAGAGCACTTAGAGGACTACAAAAGAAATTAGTTTTTATAGTTTTAATCTCATGAGCTATTATAAAAGTTCAATTATTTTGTCTTTCAAGTCTGAGTGATTGCAATGTCACACTACAGTCAGGTGAAGATAAATATTGACATTTCAAGTTCAGGATTACACCAAAGCAATCACATCATAAACACAACCTATAATCAAAGGAGAAATCAAAAATCATTGTTACGCAAAAACTCAGAGAGAAAAAATAAAAAAGAAAAGGAATAAAGAACATAAGAAAGGAAAACACGTGGCCGTTGGGTAGGGCTATTGAACAATTCCAGAATCCTGGGAAGTCCTTCTAAATTGTAACAGTGGCCAAAACAATCCACACTATAGATGGATCAACATATTTAGTAGCTTATTTTGACAAAGTTATGATAACACCAATCGACCACTGAAACAATGAAGAAAACATGGTAAGGGGATTTACAAAATTCTCCTATTCAATAGGACTTACTTGTCCTACTAAAATACATAAATAGGCCTATCATAATGCTTTGAAAAGTGTAGTAGGAAGAATGTAAGTTTTTTTCCGAATAGGACTTGAAAGAATGCATTAAAAGCATTCTTTTTCAATAAATAGAGAGAGAGAGAGAGAGAGAGAGAGAGAGAAGTATCAGGTGCTTGATAGATCTCTTTCAATAGAATGCTCCAACTTGGTACATCTGCAACAAAAAGTCAATTGTAGCAGGTATAGATAGAGCAGCCAACGAAACAAACTAAAAAAATGACAATTTTCTATTCTTTTTAATATTCTGATGTTGGTTTCTTCTAAGTAAACATAAATTCTGAGTTCTTACACCAAGAAAGCAGAATGAGATTCAAAGAAAAAACTTCGGCCAAACCAAGATCTAATGTTTGTCGATGTAAAACCTCAGCCTCAGGCCTCACAATCTACGTTTACACAATATAATTAAAGAGCTAAAAACCAAAGAAACTAAATCAATGTAGAAAGTGCTATATGTCCTGACGTCACACAAACGAAGATTCAGGATACCGATTTCTTTAATTTCCTGCATCTTGTTAGGGAAAAAAACATCAATATTTTCGTGCAGAACCCCCCAATGTTTAAAGCCAACTCGCGTACAAACCTCGAGAGCGGAAAAATTGTGAAGCAACTCAAATGACTCGGTGCACAGATCAATTGGACCTAATTTAATCAAATATTAAATTGTGACAATCAAATTTATTTTAAAATGGACAAAACTGTGCTTGAAGACACTGCAACACAAAATCGAACACTAATCATATAATATAGATATTTTTAATAGCATACAAATATTTGAAGTAGTTATGCCATTTTAAATCAATCTAGGCCAAAAAAAAAATCGATAGACGTTACTTTAAAAACAAAATACAAAAAATAACAACTTATGTACATAATTTATCGAATGACTAAGAAATATATGAATTTAAAGAAAACACAACTTAACTCATTATCAAATTCAACATCACGCCCCAATTCTTCCGTAATAAAATCATTTAGCAACCACATAGTAATATCAACCATAAAATGAAGTTCAACTTTATACATAAAAATTTACGTATATCAAATTCAACTTGTAAGTCCAAATGTACGCGTTTAATTGATATCATTTAATCAACACAGTCATTTGAAATTAATCGTTAAATAAGATTTCATCAAATTAATACTTCATTTTCATGAAATGTCACACAATGGGTGGACCAAGCTAATTAGCTTTTAGGCTGCTACTCTTTCATGTGACTCCCCAAATTCATGTTAAATTAGGTGGGCCGGTCCCCATAGACTAATTAGCTCAGCTTGGCACACACAGAGATGGCGAGGCGGGAGGGAAGCGGTTACAAAGGGAGAATGCCAGAGTCCAGTCATGCGTCCCACCTGAAATTGCCTAGGAATGAGATGTAATATTTTGGGCGGGAAAACAAAAATTAACAGTGATTTTTAACCATTAAATTAAAGTAAACATAATTTAAGATAATCTCAATTGTGAAAAACTAAAGTTATTCTCTTTATCTTTTGATATTTGAATTGTCTTGTATTTTATTATATAAATAGATAAACAGATTATAGATTAAGGAAAAATAATTATGTCAAATGAATATTGATGATGCACAAAATTGATTATGTACAATCAAATCAGTTAAGTGTATGATGCAAGGTAATTAATGAAGCGATTAATAGTAAAAGACAAAAATTGGGTGGTTGAGCTTAGGTGACTTAACCACTAAAGGCACCAACAGTGGCTGAAAACTTTATTAATGGGAGAATAAAATAGTAGGTGAGAGGGAGAGAGAAAGCAAGAGTAAGCTCAAGAGGTGATGTATGTGAGATACCCCCATGTGTAGAGGACTTATAATTTATAAGCACAAAACCCTATTTAAGGCGGTGACATGAAGGTCAGACTACTAGTCTTTCGGGGAGGATAGTTATAATTAAGGCTAGACGATATATTCGAGTAACGACTATCTCGATGATTACTCCCCACGTGCGTTAACTCCACTGTGACTCTTAAATCTTGGACTGAGATGAGGCCATGAGATGAGTCTGACCTGCCTTTTAAACTATTTGGGCTCAACCTACGAATTGGGCCTCGACCCTGTTGGATCTGGGTTCATCATTTACTCCCCATGCCCCAAGCTCCAGTTATGATAAAAAGGGTTGAGGGCATGAGTGAGCACTTCTTCTATGCAGACTAGGTACCTTTCTCCCTACAATAACTACTTCAACTTTCCATCCTTTTGTACCTTCGAAGCTTACTTCTTCGTTCTCCATACTTCATTGTTGAACACCCACTGTGCTACCATTAGTTTAGAGGAGATTTCACCATTATCATTAAAAACCCTCTTCCTTCATTTAGGCCACCATCCTTAAGGCCTCATTGTTCAGTACATATAAACCCAAGAGAGAACTATTCATTTCTCTCTTTTTTCATTCTCCCTTGGATTAGGGCTTCCTTTTCTCTTCCTTCTCATAGATTATAGGGAGTTTCACAAAGAAGACAAAGATGGAGATCAGAGGGAGCTTGACGATGTTGGACAAAGCTATCAAGGAGGGTCACAGGTGAAATCAGGCGCTGGCGATACCTCGACGAGATCTAGCGAAATCCAAACCATGGTGAAGCTAGGGGTGGCACCAATCATCAAGGGTGACACATAAGTCCATGGAGGCAGTGTCGGAGGAGATGCAAGCGACGACGCCCGGCGAAGCGAGCTGCTGGGCGACACAGGTAAAGATGGAAAAGGCAACACCTTAGGCGCAGGTGGTGCCAGGCATGACGTGCTAGTGGGTAGCACTAATAGAGGCAAAGAGGGCGATGCCTTGGGCATAGGAGGTGCCAAGCATGACAAGCTAGTGGCAGCGCCAACAGAGACGAAGAGGACGACGCCCTAAGCACGGGAGGCATAGACGGTGTCAGCAATCTGAGCGACAGCGATGAGAACGACAGGTAGGGTAGGATGGGTAGCACAAGGGCATCACCCACTGGCGTGGCTAGCGTCAGTATAGCTGGCGTCACTAATGTTGGCACCACGAGCATAGACATTGGGACGCTATCCACCGCCCCTAGCATTAGAACTGACAAGTTGGATTCTAGGTAGCTATTGGGCGTCGGAGAGCAATGAGCAGACACCTTTCGAATGGGTAAGACGATTCAACCCCGCCTTTCACTTTTTGTCATTATTTTTGGCACCCTTCCTTTCTTCTTACAGTGTTCTCGATTTCCACAAGCACTTGATCTGGTGGTAGGGGTATGATGACAGATACTACATAGGCTTCGCAACGAAGCAAATGAGTTGCTAAAAATGATGGGCCGAAGGTACCCTCTATTTTCAATTCAATTAATTGTTATGATGACTTTGTATGCATTGTATCTTCGTTCCATATCCCTCTTGCTGTTATGTACCACTAGGCTGAGAAAAACGAGCTGGCATGCTGTGATTCTTCTGGAGAGATCATTTTCTATGAGAAATATCCTGGAGGCAAAACTGAGGTTTCATATGCCCAGACCTATTTGCTGGATTCTAGGTCATTTGCTGGCTCTGGGGAGGTTGACTCCAAAAGGTTGAAGGGTACTTCTGGCTTTTTTTTCGTTATGGAGGTTAGTCCATAGCAAGGGTGTTTCTCCCCATTTTGAGTAGTTCTTGAACTTGTATGTACTTTTGGATAATCCTACTCCTCATCAGGGATGGTACCACTTTGCTCCAAGGTCAGGCAAGTTGGTCATTGGATTGCCCTCGAACAGTCATAGTTGGAAGTCCAAGTTTTTCTTCATTAGAGGTGGGTGGGTTGCTAGGGAGGACCATGACTTAGTGCCCATGATGTGGGATTGTCTTTCGAAGACCAAGCTAGGTATGAGTTTTCGCCTTTTTTTCATATCTGAATGTTACATTCCTTTCATACTTACTACATGTTTGGTTCCTTTATAGCTCCACTTCTATGAAGCAAGAGAATAGGCTCTAGGCTGTGAGGGATCATCCTACCAAGCAATTCGCAACCCTTATATCTATGTCGGGTCATTCCAAAGCCTCCCCTAGTCAAAAGAGAAAAGGTATTTGATCCTTTAAATAAGCCTGATGACTGTATATATTCTTCTTCTTATGTCAGTTTCACAGGTGCTAGTGTTGATAAAAAGATGGTGGAGGCTCTCTATGCTTTTAAGGTAGCGTGCTAGTGTTGATAAAAAGATGGTGGAGGCTCTCTATGCTTTTAAGGTAGCGTTTTTCCCTCCTCCCAAGAGGGTGAAACCTGATGCCCCTGATGATTCTTGGTTGAGGTCTGATGGCTAAGTTATTTCCCAGGAGGCGAGATCTGGTGGTACCCCCCACTCATTCTCAGCATGCGACCCCTTCGAGCGCTAGGGCCAACCCTAGTACTGCTTTAGGAGTTGAGACTCCTGTGCAGACCTCTACAGCAACTAGGGCTCCACGTGGTTGTCCTACTTCTAGTAGTGGCTTGGTGTCTATGCTGTGAGACGTGAATCTGGCCAAGGAGCAGCTTTGGAACTTTTTGACAACTGTGGATATTAGAGAGATCAGCTCTCGAGGTCCAAAGGACATTATAGATACCACGATAGAGGGATTTTCTATGGCATACTTTTTTCAATTCGACCTTAATTTCTGTACTTGCCCCTCCTTTTTTATGTTCTACCTTCTAGATACTTGTAAGTGGTTGTTATCTTTTTCTGCTTTTTTTCGAGGACGATTAAGCTTGGTGAGGCATCAAGGACTCTGGAAGAAGAAAGACAGGCATGAGAGGCTGCTGAGGAGCAGTTGAGGTCGGTTTATAAGAGAGTTATGCCTTTTGAGGCTGAGCTTTTTGCGTTCCATGAGAGGACCGCAAAGTTGGAGGCTAATAGGGAGACTACTTGGGTGAGAATAAAGTCGGAGTTACAAGTGTACCGAGAAAGAGATGCAGAGGCTCAACCTGAGCGACAAATAGCACAGGAGAGGGTTGACATGGTAGAGGCTAACTTGTGAGTAGTTCGCAAAAGAGCCACCAAGGCAGAGACTCATTCCATTGAGATGGAGGAAGAGGGAGTCTGCTGAGAGGGCCGTTGTAGGTGTTTTTATTGATGGCTATAAGGATTTTAGGAGGAAGGCCTCAACAGCTTTCCCTACTATTGATTTATTTAGCTTCGTCTCATATGAGGCACTAGGGACCGATGGTGACGGGGAACGTTTTGATGAGAGTGGATCAGGGAGCAGTGAGGGACGTTGAGAGTATGATGACTCTATCTTTGTCTACTTTTTGTTGTTAGGCCATGTTATGACTTTTGTGAGTTGTTTACAAACTTTATGGAATGAAAGATAGTTCTAGACAGAATAACTCTTGCAAAGTTTTATTTCATAATTTAAAGTAACAAATAACAAAAGAAATTGACTGAACCAACAAAAGACAAAAAAAAAAATGAGAGTCACCAGCTTGTACCCTGCTATTGATAATACCTCTTCAGGTGTTCGGCGCTCCATAGATGGGCCAAGACTTTCCCTTAAGAATTCTAAATTATGTACGTGTCTGGTCTTACAACTTCTGTCACCATGTAAGGTCCTTCCGAATTGGGACCTAACTTCCCTTCTTGAGAGTCCTTGGTAGATATGATTACTTTTTAGAGGACTAGGTCCTCGGCAAGAAAAAGTGAGGCTTCACCCTTGAGTTTTAGTACTTGGTCATGCGGCACTTGTACTCTACATTCTTGAGCATAGTCATCTCTCTCTCCTCTTCTACCAAGTCAAAGTTGAAGTATATGCCTTCTTCATTAGTGGTTGATTCATGGTATTGGACCCTAAGGGAGTGTACCCCAATCTTGACTTATATAACCACCACTATCCCATAGGCTAAGGAGAACGAGGTCTCACCCATAGGGCTCCTTGGTATTGTCTAGTAGGCCCATAGTACTCTTGGGAGCTCGTTCACCCATCGCCTTTTGGCGCTTTTCAGCCTGGTCTTCAGGCTGTGGAAGATTGTTCTAATGGTGACCTCTGTCTGCCTGTTTGCCTATGAATGGGCAGGGCTAGAGTGGGCTTGCTTGATCTGTAGGTCTGCACAGAAGTTATTAAGAAGTTTGTTGTCAAACTACTTAGCATTATCACTTATTATTGTATAAGGTACTCCAAAATGACATATAATGTTCTTCCAAATTAAGTCCTTCATTTTCTGGTCCGTTATTCTAGCTAAGGATTCAGCTTCTGCTCACTTTGTAAAGTAGTCAATAGCTACTACTATAAATTTGCATTGGCCCCAACTTATGGGTAGGGGGCCTAAGATATCAATCCCCCACTTAGAGAAAGGTCAAGGGCTCATGATGGTGGTGAGTTCCTTTGGTGGTTGTCTTGACATCGTTGCAAAACGTTGACATTTGTTGCACTTCTTCACAAATTTACAAGTGTCTTTAGTTATGCTAGGCCAGTAGTAGCCTTGGCTCACCACCTTATGAGCCAATGCACGTTCTTCGAAGTGGTTTCCACATATTTCCTCGTAGATTTCTCTCATGGCATAATCAGACTCCTTTGGGGAAAGGCAGCGGGGTAGGGTTAGGGGCAGTGAGTGGCTTTTTTTTTTAAAGGGTGTCACATAAGATGACACACCTAGACGTTATCAACCTCAACTTCTTGGCTTTCGCTAGATTCTTTGGGAGAGTTTTCTTTCAAGATAGGTTCGGATAGGCGTCATCCAGTTGGCTTTAGAGGATGCATAGTTGACCTTGTCCTCCTCTGCTTTGACTCTGCTTGGCTCGAACTGGTGACATGTATGTGCGGGGCCTGCTAGTATGTTTGCGGATGCGAACTTGACTAGCGTGTCTGCCATGGCATTATCCTTCATGGGCACATGCTAAATTTGGAAATGGTTAAACTTTTTTAGCAAAGCTTGAACCACTGACAGGTATTCTTGCATCCTTTCCACCTTTTTCTTCAAATTCTTCCTTTATCTGATTGATTATTAGTTGAGAATCACAATAAATTGTCAAGTAGAGGGTCTCCATCTCAATTGCGATCTTGAAGCTTGATATGAGGGTCTCATATTCTACCTGATTGTTTGATGTCACAAAATGGAGGGAGAAGACATATTTGACTGGAGTACTATGACGACTAATAAGCACTAGCTCTGCTTCACCACCCTCACTAGTAAAGGATCTATCCATGTATAGCTTTCAGCATGCTACTAAGCCAGTGGGAGATGCCTACTTTGGTGTGGTAGTGCACTTAGGTAGGAGCACGACAAGCTGAGGTATGGGTGAAGAAGGTGCTGAAGGTACTAAAGAAGTAGATGCAAAGGAATTAAGTGCCTCTGGTCTAGGAACCTGGACGCCAGGGTCCTAGGAGGCTGGCGCTTAAGCTTGTTTCACAGGGAATCAAGGCACTGTGTCCTAGGTAGGTGAGCGTAAGGGCGTAGTGTACTCCTTCCTAAGAATCTCCGTCCTCTAGTGGTGTAATTTCAACTATAAAATCTACAATTGCTTGCACTTTTATGGCCGTTCTCGGCTGGTACTACACGTCAAACTCGCTCAACTCAACAACCCATTTGAGAAGTCACCCAAACACATCTGGCTTTCCCAGGATCCCTCTGAGTGGTTGGTTTGTGAGAATCACGATAGTGTGACTTTGAAAATAGTAGCGTAGGTATCTAGAGGTGGTGACTAGTGCAAGGACCAGGTTCTCCAATTCATAGTATCTTACCTCTGCTCCTCGGTATGCCCTGCTTATATAATAGACAGACCTTTGGACTCTTCCTTCCCACCTGACTAGGATGGAGCTCATGGCAGAGGACAAGAAAGAGAGGTAGAGATACATAGTTTCTCTTGGTACAACATGAGAGAGTAAGGGGGTGTAATATGATAGGCCTTTAACTTTTGGAAAGCTTCCTCTACATTTTGCACCCACTAAAAAGACTTACGA